CTAGTACACGGATGCCACTCCGATAGTGACGGTCAACCTACCGGTACCTACATGTACATGATTGTACAGTCGTGTACATGTACAGTGCTGGTAGCTGAAATCCGACCCCCTGAGCGGTGCGCTCACATCGCAAAGACCCAACACGGCATGGTAAAACTACGAAACAGAGACCCGCTAGAATGTGAACCCACAGCTCAGGGGGTTGGATTTCAGTTGGCAGCATTGTACATGTACATGTACGCAACGCAGATGCACGATTCCGTTACAACAATAACCATCCGACTTTACGGTTGGGATTCATTGAAGTTCTGCAAATAATGGCGTTCAGCGAATTTTAATTTTAATTCATCTCCTCTAGGCGATTAGCTGGAAAAGCGGAAAGTGATATCGATTCAATGACATCCAGACCGAAACAATCCAAAAATACCAGTGCAAGGGGCGTACATGTACAAGTGTCAGTGACCCACAGCGAATCAGACCTTGTTGCGGCGTATCGGTTTAGCTTTCATCTGTTTTACACAATAGCACTGTCTTCGAATCATTTCCTGTTGATCTGGACATGCAAGCGCAGTCAGGAACTTTGACCTAATCTACCAATTATTTAGAAGAGTGCTGAATTGGACACGAGAGGAACAGGATACGTCAATAGTCATGAGGTTCGCTCAATCCTCCAGAAACCTGAAATTCCCCACCACTGGTCCCAATCAGTATTTTACATGTACACATGAGTACACGGATACAGGGCACACATGTAGAAATTGCAAGCGAAATAGCCCAACGACAATGCCAGTGCCCCCCCCCCCCCTTCTTGGCCTCACGTCACAATACCTACATGTACATGTACATGACGTATAATAAGTAAGTTGGAATTTGGAAAGGAAGAGGATGAGGTTGGTAAGGGTGTCAGGCGGTAACATGGCAATCCCAAGTAGTTGTGTCTATTTATTCCCCAAATTGGGCCAAAGGCTGCTCCAAGAGCGTATTATACATGTACATGCATTCAATGTTTCGCCCCGTCATCATGGAGCAGCTTATGCGAAGACCAGCCAAGCTTGCTTGGCGATGGCAACGCGGAAAAGCCGATAATAATAATAATAATAATAATAATGCTTAAGGCTACCCGCCTGTCGAGGGGGAGGGGGGGGGGCAAGCGATGGCATTATCAGTATATCACACATACAGTACATGTACACGTACACATGTACATTCTAGGATAGCACTTACTGCGTGCAGTTTGTATTGGCAGAGCCTGGCTGGCAGCGGATAATCACCGAAACACTATTAGGACGTGATGGCGGAAACTACTGAAAGGTTTCTTCTTTGACTTGGACCAGGAGCAGTGGTATGCACCCAGCTAAAAGCAAGCTACACAAAGTATCCGGTACACAGCACACCAACAACAGTGGCCCTAATGTCAAATGCCCGGGTTACTGAGTTGCAGGCTACGACAAGAAATTGTGAAGAGCAGGCTACCCTCCGCTGAGACCGCCTTACAGTGAGAACGCGATTCTGGTGACCCGCACTGGCTTATATTTGTCAGGAATCGGTATGGTTGAATGATTGTATGTGTACTGGGTAATGAGTAATGCCTTTACCCGCTGCAGTGCTGTTCTACGCCACATCCAGCAGCCACAAGTACAACAGTTACCTAGTACTAGTAGTAGGTAAGTGTCGGGAAGTCGTGATACTATCCGCAGAGCTCGACGCCTGGGACTGTAAACTGGTTTCACGGATCGCGGCCAGGTCAAAGTCATGATCGACGCTCACAGTACATGCGGCATGCAAACCACCAGCTTGTGTAGGCAGTAGCTGACGACAGTATCAATGCTGCCTGCAGTAGAGGACTGGAGAATTCCCGATGAGTGACGGAGGGACTGCAGACTGTGGCAGCCGTTGGTGTCTCCCTGGATGTCTGTCACGTCTGTGACAGAGCTTCACCGTTCTCTCGTCCGCTTTCCAGACCAGAGCAAGCGTGGAGTATGCCACCGTACAGTGCTCCAGTTGATATCGTAACATTGCTCTGTACTCCATGTAGTGTTCGTCATTGGTGTGGACCTGGAGTATAGTGCATGTGTTTATCTCGTATTGATTGTTTGTCATTGCAGTGGGGCATGACGCGAGATCTGATGAGTGAGTCCTTTGTTTCCCGCGCGCTTTTCCTCTCAACGACACTGAACGCAGCCAGTACACGACTGTAGTACTCCTGGCATACACGGTGCCGTGGTACAGTGTGCAAGTACAGTACAGTAGGGTCTCAGTAATCAGACAGGAGCGCAGTACGTAGCCGTACGCGCCTGGCGAGATAAGATCAGGCAAAGAGAGTCCAGACTACAACAATGAGACCCAGATCACCGGGCACTAACACAGGAGCCAACAGGTCTACAGTAGTACAAAGCCATACAATGATACACTGTACTCTCTCGAGGAGTCCAGGCTGCTGAAAAGGGCGGGATCTCACGTGGTCATCTCTCTGACGCCATCAGCGGCCGGGAGATTGACTCGGGTTGTCGTGAGTGACAGGATGACTCGGCGGAGCGTGTCATCGCCTTGATATTGATAACCAAATGAAAAGACTCCTGTCCAAAATGATCCTCTCCGCGCAAGTCAGTCGATGGATTGCAATAGTATTACACGCGTGGAAGAGTGCAGAGTACATTGGCTTCATGTTACTAGTACGCTTTCGCTCACAGTCAGTGGTCCGTTGGGAATCCGAGCTGGATTGCATCGCAATGCTAGCGTTCAATCACTGGATAGAAGTCACCTGTGCTCCGGACAAGATTACACGCGAGCCGCCAAGACGTAATCAGTATGCGGCCATCACTGGGCACAGTGGGCAGCGTCACAACTGTCAACACACTCTGGACACTATCGTCGACGTACTGTAGAGTCATGTACATGGGTAATTACCAAAATGCTCATGGTGAAGCTCCCGATATTAGGTACAGTATTCTGTTCGTCACAGCGCCTCCATTCTGGAGCCTGGCTGACTGTGTGGGCAGCGAATCGTTCGTCAACGCTTGAGTAAACCTAAAGAGTTTCGGTGGCGTCGAGACGGCTTGGCTTTAGTTGCTGAATCGAATAGCTAACCTACTTGCAGTCCAACTGGAATTACATTGTATTCAACTAACGTAGTGTAACAGAGTCGTTTAGCTAGCTGGCGTGATGGGCAAGAGTGCAGAATTACTGTATTGCAATCTCACTTTGCCACTCTGTCAATGGTAGATTGCGATTTTATCAGTAGGGATGTGATTTCACTCAGTGCTCCAAGCCATGTCATTCTGTTTCGATGTCTGAAGTGCGCTACGTCCCCGCGAGGCACTTGGATCATGGAGGATGGAAACCATGAGTGTACGAACGCTAATCATTCTCACGGCCTTTGGAGGTCGACCGGTCTTGAGTGCCCTTCTTACCTCTAAATACCTACTAGTGTAATAGCCGGGCAAGCACAAGGACAGTGGTGATGATACAAGTCATACACATAGAACCGAGTACCATCGCTTCTACAGGACATTATCAGTTTGCTAGTACATGGTGGATATGGGAAATTCCTAGAGTAGAGGACGACAAGTCCTGCAGAGACTATTGGCGTTGCTTTACTAGCCAGCCTTTCTTGTGCCATGTGTATGCTATACTCACCTGCTAAACTCTCTGTGCTCTAACATCTGTGTGTAGTGAATTATCACAGATTCCTTGCCACACGTGCACAGGTTCAGGCCAATAATTGAATCCATGCGGTGAAGCCGTTTTGTAAAACTGCAAGTGCCATCTACCTGCACACACATACATGTACACGACGTTTCAAGTGTTGCACTTCAGATGTATACGCGATGTCAAGCGATGTAAATCGACTCCAAAGGAGAAATACTCCATCAAATCAGATAAATTCAGGGACCACCCAGGCTCCGAACGGCGGCATTCTCTGAGCGCAGTCCAACACCGGACGGCTCAAAGAACTAAAGACGAACAGGGGTGGTACTGGTGCTACTAGCCAACATAAACCAGCTGCATCGCTTTGAGGCAAAATATTCCCTGTTCAAAGTAGCCAAGGTCATGTGTCGAACGTAATAAAAATCCTATGTCCACTGATGGCGGTAAACAAAGTACATGACTAACTGTACACACTGCTGATCACATCGGTAGGGGTGGGAGGTGAGAATGGGGTCTGATTATTTGGGGGACGGTCAAGGCACAAGCACCCTTGAACGTTTCACAGCAGCAGCACTTCAGACCATTCAGCACCGAGGAAGGATGCCAACCACAGGCGCCAACACCGAACACTAGGAGAGAAAAGACCTGCTGTGTTCCGAACTTCTCAGGTTAGGCTCATCCTATTTCAGTCACTCTATTGCCAGCTAGATGGCACAGAAAGGATGCCGATAAAATCTACTTCTAAATCCCTGTACACGCAATAATACAGTCATTTATATGCATAATTATACATGTACATGTACATGTGTGGATTCACAGGAAGTGTGAGTTACGAAGTCTGAAGAGAATGTTGAACGGTCTCTGCTGGGATGACGACTACACCATAGCTCAGTGGTTAGAGCATCGCTGGCTACAAGCGAGGGTCCCTGGTTCGAGTCCTGGTGGAGACAGTCAATTTTTTCTTCAGACTTTTCCCGTTTGTGTCTTTCCCTCAAACTAGTCAAAATTATATACATGTACATGTATATGTCATGAAGCATTACAAGCTCGGCGTTCCCTTTTTTGTTTTTTAAAGTAGCGCCCTTGTTGGGTGCCCGATCCGAAAATTGTTGCACATCTTTATAATTTTGAACTGGAATGGTGAGCCAATGCATTCAGATAATCTGAGCACTCAAAGTAACTAGATGGAAGGTGTTGGTTTGCGCCTCCTAGATGTGTTAGAGCAAGGCGCTGGGTCGTTGAATGTCTCAGTACTCCCTGTGAGTTTTTGTGCCTCTTTGTCACACTCTATACATGTACATTGTAATTGTGCATGATCTGGTTACATGCATGGCGTCATTGGCGGGCCGCTGTTAGTGTTAGCCAAACCTTGCCGCATTTTGTCCGTCCTCTTTTCTTGTAGTTGTAGCATCTTCCAACATTGTGATTTGTCTTTTATGGCCTAGTAGTTGAGAGATTTGTATCTTGCCAGCTCAGCCGGCTTCTATGTCCTGCTGAATAGCAAGAATTGAGCGTCTGTGACGCCAGCGCCGAAACTGCGCCGACTTGGCGACGTCATTCGTCACGGACCAGGATCCAGTTGCAAACCTGTCCCATTGTAAGGTACGGGCGGCGACTGGTCGAGCAGTTTCAGTGAAACCTCGGTTTAACTTTAAAGTTTAAACCCTCCTGGACACACAACTGTTTAATAAAAAGCTGTAGCATCGTGTCCAGGACATGGACCACCCTTCGTAGTGGGCTGCCCCAGCCATAATGATGCTATCCAAGTCACCTTCTGGATTAAAGGGGAAGTCCGGTGAAAAATTTAAATTTCACAGTCCGTAGAGTTCGGGGCGCTGAGTCGAATGGTCTTTGTTCGAGGAGGCTGCGGCTTATGGTTCGTCAGATACGCCCAATCGAACATGTGCGAATTTGAGCGCGCATCACCCAGATCCAGGTGATGACGTCACAGCGTGCAGCCAGGTAGCCACACCATCTAGTTGTGTACAAAAATGGCCATATTCGGAGCGCGTTCGATTGGGGAGCCGTTTATCGCAGCTTCTTCGGACCAAGACCATTCGATTCAGTGTTACAAACACTACGTACCCTGTGATTTTCAGCTCGGTAAATCTGGAGGTTATACCGTATTTTAGCCGTTTCCGAGTTGGACTTTTCCGTTAGCCCGTCTACATGGACATGGTCTATGCGCTCTGCGCTGCGTGCATGCAGTGCGTGCAGTGTGTTATCTACATGTAGCTGTAGTGCATGCAGTCAACAAACTCATGTCACAACTCAGAACTGACACAAGACTCAGAAAACTAGTCAACACACGGACTTGTCATGATTGTACTACACTCGTATCAGTCGTATTGTACAGTCATGTAGTCAGAGAACGTGCGTTTCTCCTTGCCGGTGCCGGTGGTTGTGCTTTGAGAAAGAAAATTTTAGTTTTCCGCACCCGCGGCGCCTCATTATTTTATGCTACAGCGATGAGTGCACAACCGTGACAAGTGACAAAACAGCGAACAGCTCTCGGACCTAGAACTTTCAGATTCCATAGCGTTGGGAGCGAAGAGTCGTGCCCGTGGTTCAAAGAGCCTGCACTGTTCTCCAATTGAGTAGTCCGAAATATTCCAAGTTCGCACCAAAACATCACCATGTGGCAGGCTACTGGAGTCTAAGCGAATCTAATCGGTATGGAACAACATTTAGAGCACTCGCATCACTCTTCTCCATTTTGGCGACCCTGCTCTCCAGCGATCTGATAATTACATCAGCCTCGTCTGCAATAGCTGCTGCTTCTTCATCAGTCGGAAACTCAGTAGCGCTCACTCTTGACCGGCCCGCGCGGCCATTTCTTCAGCTGACTACCGAGGTTCTCAGCCCAAGACCGAACTCATGAAGGTCAGCCATGGCTGCATCCTCACTCTCACAAGGAGTTACATGTCTTCGGGGTCGCTTGCACCACCTAATATCAGTCGCCAAATCATTTGAAATAGCACTGACACTATTGCTTTCACGCACTCCTTTTGACCTAGCTGCACGCTATGACGTTGCAGAGGGTGTGGCGCGGCCGCATGACGTCATGGCGCAGCCCCCGAAACTCAGTTTTTCAAACGGAAATATCTCGAGAACGCTTTGTCGGAGACACGTGGGACCAACACCATTCGACTCAGCGGCCGAAACTCTACCAACCCTGAAATTTAAATTTTTCACCGGACTTCCCCTTTAACCTCGAAGTTACAGTGTATTGCTCAATCATGCACATGTACATGACTGTTAGTACGTGACGACTGCAGTACAAGTACGTACATGTCGCTTAGCTGTATTATCCAGTTGGACCTCGCTTCACTGGACGTGTAGAAAATGGTAAATCTAAGTTAGGCTCGGGTGGCGACTGGAGAGTCAAGGGATAAGAAGAAATGAGGACCAAGGAACTACAAGTTACGCTACAATGTTCTATAATGTCCCCTAACACAAACACCACCAGTTACTTTACAATCAGCTCATGCTGCAAGGCAATCATCAGACAACTGATCGTACTGGGTTGTTCATACCCATCTACATCTACATGTACATGTACATGTAGATGGGTACTGAAATCCGACCCCTGCGCGGTGCGCTCACATCGCAAAGACCCAACACGGGATACTAAAACTACGAAACAGAGACTGCTAGAATGTGAACCCACGGCGCAGGGGTCGGATTTCAGTTGCCAGCATTGTATAATCTAGTGTGGCCAGTCTCTTGAACTCCTGAATGTTTCATGGTGTCCTTTATCCTCTCCCTGTCCGATATTCTCCGTCGTGTCAAAGTACGAACATATCGGAAGATGAGATTATAACAGTTTGACATGTGCATGTCCAGGGTTCAATTTGGAACTGTGCAGCTTCTGGGCGATTGAATGGAGCAGGCCTGTGATGGTGACGCACCTTCACTGCATGGTCGTTGTTTAATAATTAATCTAACCGTTATCAGCAGAGCCATGATCAAGGCATACTCACGTACTAAGTCAGTTGTGGCTACAGGCCGCTTTTGCTAGACTACCCGACGACGTCGTTTGAACTGAAACTGTGATCTCTAGCTGCAATGAAGAGCTTACTTGAGACGTTTGCCACAAAGGGGTATTACCAGCACATGTACATGATTGTACAGATAATACACAGTCCATGTACTGTACTTGGCAGTCATGGTTTAACTTACAATGTACATGTAATTCAACAGTCGTATCGCAACAAAATTATTATAGCTTCAACGATTGTAGATTTCGTAGACCGCCGAAGGATAACAATTAAGCTTGTGATGCAATTTCTTCAATGCTGGCCCGCCGCCCTAGTGTAGTATGGTGTACATGTATCACCCACAACTCCACACGGAGTACTGTATAAGCAGAAAAATTCGTCGGTCAATAATTTCGTCCAACTCCAAAGAAAGAGAGTTCGTCCGGTTGTAAATTTCGTCCATGGATCATAAGAGTGTATTGAAAAGCTGGACAAATCAATATTAGTCCGGCATTTAATTTAGTCCAGCAGCTTGTTGGACGAAAAAGACGAAATTAAATTCCAGACGAATATTTCTGCTTGTACATGCTAACATAGCGCTCAACACAATGTGATTGCAATAATAGGGCTTGAAAGTGATGACGTCAATCGTCGCTTGGCAACAAAACTGGATCCACTTCGCTTTTTGGATCCACTCGCGTCAAGCTGATTTGATACTGTTTCCCATACTTTTCGAAGCAGAAAAAAACCCACGCTGCCAACAATACGATAGTCGAAACTGTGTACAACTCATATTGCAACATCATGCATTCGTGGCACGGTCTAACACGATACATGTACATGAGCACCCGTCGTCCGGATGTGACGATGTCGTACACCAACCACTTCGTCTTTGAATTAATCAGAACACATGTTTCGCAATTTCGTCCTGGACCACAGCCCTTTCATGTTGAACAATGCACATTACAGGTTAATTGTGCCACATCCACAGAGCATTAAATTATTTGTTCTAGTCGTACATGTACATGCAAACGAGGTACTAGTACATGTACGATGACAGCCAAGATCACAACCAGCTTGACGCAAGGTGGAGGACACACGTACGTAGTGTTCCTGACTGCAAACAAGTAATCATTCTGTTGACGCATAGCATCGTACCTGTGTGGACATGGCCAACCTGTACAGTCGTGTAAATGTCCATGTATTATGATGTAAGTAAGTTAGTTGTCAGTGTTATCATAGACTTGACACACATCCATTGACTGTAGCATTGACATATCGATGTACCCGAATTGTTTCTGGAAGTCAAGAAAGTACAGTCATTATAGCTTGCATGACATGTGCCTGTGCAATTAATGTGAACATTCAATACAGGGCAAGTCGTGTTGTTACGTCGTGATAAACCACACTGCACATTGCAGCTTACAGCCGCATTCCCTTGCAATCCCATCATGCAACCACAATAGAATGAACGTGGTAGGAACTTGACAAACGTTGCACTGTCGTTCTGCATGATTTACGTTCCCTAATTCCAATCTCACATATTTTAAACATCAGTATTAATTCATTGTATTGCGAAATGTGTCTGCGTTTACTCCGCCTTCAGCCTCTGCTCCCTCCCGCTCCACACACATACACAAACATACATACACACATACAAACACTCTCTCTCTTTCTCTTTCTCTCTCTCTCTCTCTCTCTCTCTCTCTCTCTCTCTCTCTCTCTCTCCTACCTATCTTTCTTTGTCTCTTCCTCTCTCTTTTCTCTCTCTCTCCCTCACTGTCTGTCTGTCTGTCTGTCTGTCTGTGTCTTTCTGTGTGTGTGTGTGTGTGTCTCTCTCTCTCTCTCTCTCTCTCTCTCTCTCTCTCTCTCTCTCTCTCTCTCTCTCTCTTCCTTTCTTTCTCTCTCTCTTTTCTCTCTCATTCTCTCTTTACTCTCTCTTTCTCTCTTTTCCTCTCTCTCTCTCTCTCTCCACCTCTCTCTCTCTCTCTCTTTCTCTCTCTCTCTCTCTCCATGTCTCTCTCTCTCTCTCTCTCTCTCTCTCTCTCTCTCTCTCTCTCTCTCTCTATCTCTATCTCTATCTCTATCTCGCTCTCTTGTTCTGCAGGGCCTGAAATGGAGCGGTCTGGACGAAGGGGATTACTAGTATTGTGGAAGCTTTTTGAAGCATGCGTTGGTTGCTCTTCACACGCTAGATTGTAATGGTTGGGAGCACGGAAAGCGACTACAAGCATTGAGTGTACTCAGTTCCAAATTCATCTGCCTTCTCTAGAAGTTTGTGCGCTCAATGTGCAACGTGCCTCGTCTCAATAGTGACGACTGGGAGGTACACGACATACTTTGCCCATACTGTCCACGGGAGAGACTGATTTTCACACATACATGTATAATATGTATATTACCGTGAAATCCAGAGTTACAGTAGAAACGCTTTTGATTCCTCTCAAGTGTGTGTACATGTATATTCTGTAGGACTCAGCAATCCCTGAAATGTTTACTAACCCTTACCTTAGGACTAGTTAGGAGGGCTTCGTGATTGGCCTGAGAACTTTTGTAATCTCAATTTGACAAACCCTGACCATAACACAATGGCGATCATAACTGGACAGTCGTAGTGAAATTGTTTTCGTTCACGGATTTAATCTGTGTGTGTGAGTGGCATGTATACCGTGTGTCGGCCTAGCGCTGTGGTAAGATTACACCACTGGGGTCCATGCTGTGCAGCTGGGAACCAGGGAATACAGTGTATAGCGATAATGTGACAAAAGTCGAACGACAATTTCAAGGCGCTGCATGCAGGACTTCATACAGTGCCTAATATCCTTGTGTTTACCGTGACATTTCGCGCAATTCTCACGCCCAACCCTGTGATGCTGAATGGAATTCACACTCAGTACACACTGCAAGCTACATGTACATGTACAATGTAGATTGTCGTTTGCGGCAGATTCCTCATCGTGTCAATGTGAGAACTGATCAAAGCAGATTGCATGACCGTGCTACAGGAATAGATTTCAATTGATCGGTTCTTGGAAATCGCATCACGTGTATCTATACCGTGCTAATACCGCGCCTAGTCCCCAGTGCATACTGAGGCAGACATGCATGCTGGATGTCACACGCGAAATACTCACAATTGAAGTGGAATTTCGTAGTTCGCAGAATCGAGTAACAACGTTGTGTATTCGGACTACATTGTACATGAACATTTACCTGAATGACTTGAGGACGTTCGCGGGACTGCGGTTCGTTGACAGTCAAGACTACATGTCCCATGTTCAGCATATTGCAGCAGGGCACCGCTGAATTTGCCCTGCTCGCCTACCAGTCCCCTAGCAGTGCACATGTGGACGATGTCTGTCGTCATGAAGCCAATCCCCTGACGTACACGTACATGTATGTTCTATCCTGATCCCGCAACAGCATACACTGAGTTAGTGGTGCCCGTCTGGTCTGGTACTGCGTGCGGCCTGACAGTCGCCGTCCTCGTATCGGCCGTCGCGACCTCGTCAGGTGTCTGCTGCCAGACGCGCACCGTCCAGTGCCGCGCCACACACCGCGCAAAGGCTAACACTACAGTCATAACAGTGCACTGTACGTACATGTGTACCATGATTGTTTGTGTCGAATTGTTTTATTCAAAGCCCCACATTAAGTGAATAATAGCAAGAAGGTACAAGAGAAGAGCTAGAGAGAAAAGGGAAACCAAGGACGAGTCCAGGTGGAAACTGAGGAAAAGTCACTTGAAAGATTAGAACATTGAAAGGATCGGTCACGCAATACGGTTAATTCCCATCGTCACGTGATCGTGGATAGGATCGTTACAATCATGGTACAGTACATTGACCCTACCCCAGCCACGCTGTCTGAGCTCCGCTGAGGAAAGAACAAGATCGAAATTGTCCGTAGATTGAGTACAGGTATTACGCTCCCCCTCTTCGCCTTGGTTAAGCATTTTTCTGGTTAGCGTCGAAGTTGTCCGCCCCGTGCATACATGTAGCTCCCTCACCTGTGTGTATCACCACTGGAGCACTCTGACAGTGATGCTCTGAGTCTGAGCAGGTTTTAAAACGCTTTGTTGTTCACCGGGCTGCGGTCCGTTCAGCAAGTGACTCTGAGGTCCATTGAGGAGACTTAGCTACAATAATTTGTTACCCGAGTATTGGTCCCCGAACAGTGTAGTTAAAGCTCTCATGGCTGGTCGGCCAGTGACACAGACACAACTTGAGCATACACAAACTGATCACAATGAGAGGAAAAGAGGAGCAAAGAGCTGCAAGTTAGGCTATATCATCCACTAACACCACCAGTTACTTTACAATCAGCTCATGCGATAGCATTGGACGACACTGACAAAGGTACTGACGTTCTACACCTGACTCGCAATCAGCTCTAGCAGTAGCACATCTTGGATGCGCACTCCAACAGCCTTCCAGCTCGGAAGGTTCTAATATAGACATGCAATGCTATCCCAGCTGATTGTAAAGTAACTGGTGGTGTTGGTGGTTATTATAGCCTAAATTGTAGCTCTATGGTCCTCTTTTCTTCGTATAAATTAATCCTTGGCTCTCCACCCGAGTCTAATGATCATAATGAGGTGGTAATTCCACAATTGCTCGTATGCCTCTCCTGTCTCCTCTTCTCTTGCCATAATTTTACAATGTGCAGATGTACATTTAAAAAAAGAGAAGAAAAAAAAACACATGAGAACGAGTTATGCAGCAACTATCCCCGACCGTAACAAGATGATAAACAGTCAGAAATTGCGATAATAGGGCACAGACCTGACAAACTACTGAGACATTCAGCGACCTGAGATGTACATTTGCACAATAGTATTACGTTTTTCTGGGACAATGTTCTTGTGCTTCTCCTGCGAATATGTTCTTAGAATTACCACTTAGCCAGCTGCATTTTTCTTCCCGCAGAAGCCCAAACGCCTACCAATTGGCGGGAATCTGTTCTTGAACTACAGCATAAGATGTGGTGTTGGTGCTGGTGATATTGGCGTGATGATTCGTTGTCTCCAAGGGCGAAACGTCGGAGAGATATTTACATGTACGACGATTGCAGTATAAGACCGTGGTGGGGAAGAAGGGGATTGAGACATGACTAATTGGCTGCAGTAGAACCTCCGCATATTGACAAAATGCTGCAGTATAGCCTCCATAATTGAGGATCGTTAATGCGCTCTGATCTAGAATATACACAGCAGTGTACATGTATGTCTCAGAGTGTGCATAACTGCTTACGTAAATGTGTCTCAGGAGAAATACAGAATGCATGGCGTTACAACACTATTGATCACATTCTATGTTTTGTGATGACAGTGAGTTTCGAGTCCTCATAATCTCTGTCTGTTGTCGGTTCACACAATCATGCCACTAGTCACTGAGGTGATATCTTAACACTTAACACGTCGGTCCCAATGAAGCAGGGGCGGTCAACGCTGCACCAATAATCTTGGATGATTATAACATGGAAAATGTGGGCACAAGTTATGCGACCGAGTCCACCAACAAAAGAAGATTTGGAACATACAATAGGAGGACAGAGAAAGTGTTTTTACTCCGAGTTTCACGCACTAAGCGATCATCAGAAAACAGATTTGGAAAAGTCAGATTACAGATTACAGATTTGGAACAGTCAAAAGATTTGGAACAGTCATATTACATTACAGTGTTTTCCTTGGTCTGTTCCTTTTTCACTACACTATCTCAGTAACACCATCTCAGTTCAATGATCTTATCTTAGGGCTTTTTGAAGGAATGAAAATAATAATATTTTCATTTGGGCCCATTCCAAAATGAGTTACGCTTCCTAAAGCCAAAGGCCGTAAGAGAGTTGGAAAGTACGTGTCTTTGAGCGTAGCCATGGCAATCATGGTGGTTCCGCGCGAGTCTGCGCAACGCAGACACAGCCCAACGTGGTCGTCACTTCGCAGTGGCCTACTTCCCCAGTATACTGATAGGATCAGAACGTGGAGATTGCCAGCCACTGACTATGCAACTCTGTCGTTGTTGTTGTTGTTTGCTGTGTTGTACGGGCAGAGCACAAAGACTTACCGGGGTCGTCACCCTTGTCTTCATGGCAGCACATACATGTACTTGGAATATGTACCTTACGGCGCCCCCTGCATTATACAATCATTTAGGTGCGCAGACAGGCACAACCAAGACCAGGAGTATTTGAGAGATCAAGAGAGAATACGAAAGAACGAAAGAAGGTACACAAGAGAATATGGGAGAGATATACCGAAGGATGTACCCAGAGTGCTGACAGTGCGCAACACCACAAAAGCAGAGCGTAATACACAACAGAACAACAAGGACAATCAAGGCGTGATGATTGCGTGAGCATGAAACTTAAAGTGGAAGCAAACAAGCGTTGATTGTCCTTCTTGTTCTGTTGTGTATGGGAGAGATATATAAAATAGAGAAGGAGAGAGAAGTGGATAGACCTATAACGAAAGAAAGAAGAGAGATAGAGAGAGAGAGAGAGAGAGAGAGAGAGAGAGAGAGAGAGAGAGAGAGAGAGAGAGAGAGAGAGAGAGAGAGAGAGAGAGAGAGAGAGATAAAGAGAGAGAGAGAGAGAGAGAGAGAGAGAGAGAGTGAGAGAGAGAGAGAGAGAGAGAGAGAGAGAGAGAGAGAGAGAGAGAGAGAGAGAGAGAGAGAGAGAGAGAGAGAGAGAGAGAGAGAGAGAGAGAGAGAGAGAGAGAGAGAGAGAAGAGGGTACCAGAGACCGTGGGATGCACATGTACATAGGGAAATAGAAAAGGCGTATAGCGATGGGAAGAATGAAAAGGATAGAGCTGAGTGTTAGAGAGGGGAAATAAGAAAGAGAACATGGATTAGAGTAGGAGGAACAAGAAGGCATAACAAAACGTTATATACAGCAAGAAGAGGACGGATACAACGGTGAAACTCTGAGTCACAACGCTTTATCCATCCTCTTCTTGTTGTTAGTAGCTCTGCACTTGGCCATCGATCACACTGTATTGGATAACCTAGCTGGAACTTCCGTTTTACAAACCTTAGATACAGGTACACTGTCGTGGACATGGAAATCCGATCGCACGCATAGCGGCCCCTTGGCGCTGGCCATGCAGCCGTGAGTAAGCGGTACACACATTCATTTACTGTATGCGCTGCAGCGTGCTGGTCTCATCGGATCAACATGATGATTGTGCAGCGTGCAACATTCTGTTGGCGTGGACGGCGCCGCCCCGGTCATTCGACCGGATTTCCAGGTCCACGACATAACTAGTGTATATGTACCTGTAGAGGACAGGAAGAAAAGACCCGGAGGAGAATCACTCTCCAGACTCCAATCGATCTCTTTTCAATGGTGCTTTGGGTTTGATCCTCAGTAATACGCCTCAAATTCTACAACAGCCATGGCGGATCCAGACATCGTGATGAGCTTTACACCCGCCAACAAACTATACCCAAAGCACTTGGGCCATCTGGAGCTGTCTCGTGCTGGCAATGTCGCTTCTACTCGGATTCCCTGAAGCGAAGCGAAGTCCATGACGCCGGAATGACTTCGGTTATCTCTGCAGATTACGTTAACTCCTCACTTGCCGCTGGACAACGTTGTCTTCTCC